AGTTATTTTAGTCCTTAACTTTTTATCGTCATTGTTGATAGCGATTATTCCGAATCGTACTAAAGTGTATACCTGGTCGGTATCAGGGCTACCTACCGAGTGGAGCCATATCCGAGCATGACCGACTTAGCAGCACGGTGACCCGACCTAGATCGCAAACTGAATGTAGTTTCTATCTCCATTAAAGCCTAAATTCTCATTACTTCACCCCGACCATATTAGGTCGGAGCCGACCTATGGTACTTACGGCCTTAAGCTAGTTCTTTTAGCCAAATTTAATACCGGTTAGCCCGAGAACAATCTTAAGGCATGTGGAGAGGCTAGCAAGGCCTCCAACCTTCCCCTTATGCATGAGCTCCATGTGTCACACATGCCGAGGGCCGTGTCCCTTCGCTCCTCCTATAAATACCGTATTAAATGCGAGGTGGAGGGACTTTTGAAAAATTCTACAAAACCTTAATCAGCTCGGGACTCTCTGACCTCACGTCATCTCTCTAAGTCCATGAGCTCATACCAACAAGCAGACTATGAAAGGACCTAAACCGCGTCCGACCTCAATAATACTTGTACATTTTTGTGGGAATCACCCGACATCAATTGTAATATAGTTCCCTAACTCTTTAAAAGGGTTGTAGTTTTAACTCCTAAAGCAACAAAACTATGAAATTCTAGTAAAATTTTACTTTAATTTGTACATGTGTATTTAAAAAGCTTATTATCTTTATTTATTCTTCATAATTAACTTTTTTCCGTAAATGTTTTCCTCTTCAATTGTGTTACATTGTTCTTATTTTCACTACACGAACATGATTTGTTAAAATCATGTATTTTTATTTTTATTTTTTTTTATACAAAGGGAGCTTTATTGATGATTTAAAAGACGATGGACAGCAAAGCCCTAGAAATCATACATAAAAACTTCTTGCACAGAAGCCAGAAAAGACAAAAAAATCAAAAAACATAGAAGGCGAGGATCGTCTTAAACTAAAAGCAGTTAGAGTATCGGCTACCTGGTTCGCCTCACAATAGATATGAGACATAGATAATGACCACGAAACCAATAAACCTTGAATATGACGAAGCGCGTTTTGGACCAGCCAAGGAACATGCGGACTTGACAAAAATCATGTCATGTGAATTTTATGGGCACAAAGTGGTGGACGGAGGAGAGGAGGTTTGGGGTGGTGGCCGGAGCAGAGACCGCGGCGGCAGTCACCGTACACTAAGATGAATTTGTCGACATGGTGTTTTGCGTGAGGGGAGAGAAATTAGGAGGATCTGACCTAACGCTAACTACCAGATGAGAGAGAGATAATTCAAATCTATTCAGATCAAAGATAGAGATTACAATTATAATCACTCCTACATAATAGGTTAGCTATAGTCAACTAACCTATCACCACATAATTATTAACTACAATTATAAAAAATACAATACAGAAATAATAATATTACTAACATGATTTAATTAGCCCAGGGCAGCCCAAATTACTAAACTCATAATAATAGTTAATAAATAAAAGGGAAAATACAATGAATATATGTCGCGGAGACAATTCTTGTATTAATATAGTGTTGTAGGAATATTACAAACAGTTGTAATAATAGAACATGTGATAAGTTGTTATAAACAAGATAATAATGAGGCATTTTATACTAACCTTCCTCCTAAACGCCCCAATGAGAATAGGATGGGAGGTTGGAGCTCATGAGCACCCTGGCCAAGGCCACCCCGGATCGAGGCCGCCCAAGCCGAGGCCACCCCGGATTGAGGCTGCCCCAGTCTAGGTCATCTTTCGGGTCGTCTCCACTTCTCCTCAAGTACATTATCTGTTATGAACATTGTAATCGGAAAAAAAAAAATTATGAACTAAAACAATTAAGAAGAAACAATTGAGAAATACAAAAAATCATTTTTTTCCCTTTTACATTAAAATAGGAAGTATGTGCTTTCACTCTCGTGATTATAATTAGTACTTTTCTTCTCCCAAGTCGTTGTCACTTGTCACCCTGAAGAACTGGAATGGCAAATGCTTGGACCCCACTGAAAATCATTAACATGACACCCATCAAGAATTGAGTGTTGAGACGTGGGGAGGATCCGAAGATATACATAACATGCAATTATTATCATATACTCAATACATTAGATTAATTTTAATTCTCAAAACTCTTGTCTAAGAATCCTTAGAGAAGTTACTTCATGAATCACCCAAGCAAATTCTTGAGTTGTAGTACAATGAACATGTGATGAAGTCAAAATTATAATGAAACTTTGCCTTTTTATGTTTTGCAACCGACACTCAATAGCTCGCTTGTCATTATCAAGACACGTAGTTTATAAACTAATAAAAAACTTTGATATTTTGTTGAGGAATACTTATAAAATTATTCAAAAGATTGTAATCTTGTACGTAAGTAATTAAAATTAAAGGTTAGTTTGTATGAATTTCATAAGAACTTTGAAATTTTTTTATGTATATATAGATATTTTTTCTTTGAAATTTTTGAAATTTTCTCGTCACTCTTAAGTTGAGAGACGAAATTTATTATTAAACACAAAACTTCATAAGTAACAAATTAAAACTTATAAAAACTGAAGAAAGAGTTAAGAAGTTCTACCATGCAAAAATATAATGTTGCAATATCATTGGTCATTCTGTCATTCATTCTTTAAAAAATGAAAATAATACAAATTTTATATTCCTAAAACTAAATGTATTTTTTCTTTTAAAAAAAGGGAAAAAATCATGCAACAATTACCTTCCAACATTATGCTAGCTAAAATAATGGATCATATATGTCCACGGTTTGAGGAAGGTGGTCCATTAGTACAAACTTGACAATAAATATTAGACTATTAGCATATGTTGTTTGAAAAAGAAATTGTTAGGAACATTGTATTAGGATTTTGATGATACCAATGTAATGTAGAAAAGTAAACCCCTAACCATTAGCTTTTTCAATTGCTGCTTTCGTCCTAGACGAAAGTTGCCATAACTCCCTTGAAATTCGTGTTAAGCTAGACAAACACACGAAAATGAGTTATGACTAGATGTTAGGGTCTCCAAGGCGAAAAGAAGACACGAGAACAGCAACAAGAATCAAACAGGAGTTGTCAACAAGCACGAAAGGACAGTGTTGGTGAAAGACGATCCTTATCAAGCTTTACCTCTCTTCAACAACGACAAGAATGAGTCACCTGTCTGATTTGACAACATCCTAGGACAATAAGGACTTCACCTTATGGGACACACTTTTCAAGAAGCATTAAATGAAGATGTACCACCTCTTGCAGCTAAAGGACGAAATCCCTATGCTTCCCATACCTACAACGGCTACATGGCACAACCTCATTAATGGAGCATTTAATGCATGAAGCTCCCCGGTCCTTGTCCACTGGTTAAAAGGTTCGAAAATTTCATCTCCCTCCAACGGATGAATTTTCATCACCTATATAAACTCACCTTCATCAACTGAGAAGGTGATGGTTCATTATCACTCAATTCACTCACTTACAAAAGCTCCTGAAAAGTCTACAATTTACTAAAAGCTTTTGTGAACCAGTTTTGAGGTGTTAAGTTACTTGAAGAATCTTCTTACACCTCAAGGAAGTCTTGGCAATTGGTTGAAGTAATCATATCTCAGAGTCAAGACCTCATCGTTGGAAAATACCAGAAATCATTTTCTACCAATCTCAACTCAGGAGAAGAAGTTGATAGAGGCGGAGTAAACTCGAGGAGTTGAAAAACCTACGAAGGCTGTCCGGCTTAGTGATCAAGGAAGTCTTTGTGTATTTTTACTAAGAGTGATAGTGCAATCCTTCCAACAGTTGTGGAAGAAGAGTGGAGTAGGCATCATTGGCTGAACCACTATAAAATCTCGTGTCCTCTCTATCTCTTTACTTACGCTTTTTGCTTTCGTATCTTTCATTTATCATCGTTACCGAAATTTTGTCTAAATACGCAAACTCGTGCAAAGCATCTAAAACAAATCTATCTTATCCGCTGCGCCAAGACACCGAAAGGTGAAGTTTAGGGCTTCTAACGAAAAGAGTCTATTCACCCCCCCCCCCCCCCCCCTCTAGACTCTCATCTCATTCTATCGGGACCAACAGAAATACTAAAACACGGAGCTGTGAAATTTTTGTAATATTTTAAACAATATAATTAGCATATGTTGTATGAAAAGAACAGATGCTAAAAGTGCAATTTTAATTAATTAGTGCCTTGCGCCCGTTCTAAACACAACGGAGTCGAAAAGTAACCAAAATTTTAAATTTTGTGGCCCTTTTCGCTTCTGTTATGAAATACACGAGCGCGAAAAGTGTCGCCAATTTTTATTTTTATTTTTTAAATTTCATTGACAATAGGCCATTGTGAATAGTCGCCTATTGTTCATATGATATTAAAAAAGAATAGCATTCATATGTTGCTAGCGCAACCCTAACCATCTCTTGAGCCTTGGCAACCATCAAAGAAAACCGCAACGACAACGAAGAGCTTGAGCAGCGGTGGTGACAACGAAGAAGCAGCACAGCGACAGCGACGTTGACTAGGTGTGAGCAGACTGACAGCGACGTCGACCATAGTTTGAGAAAGCATCTTCGATGATGATGTGGTTGAGCAGCGACGTGACGAAGAAGGGAAACATCCACCAAGAAGTTGTAGCGGGGATGTCATAGCGGCGTGAGCAAACACCTTACAAGGAACAGACGCCTAAAACCACTATAATTCGTCTATAGTGGTGACAATAAGTGTCTATTCCTCACAAAGAATTGACGCCTATTGTTCTTTTAAAAAAAATCCCTGCAGCTTGGTCCCTCCCCCCCCCCCCCCCCCCCAAGGCTCTCTTAAGTGTAATATTGATGTAGCGGTCTTTGATGATGGTGCAGGTTATGGAGCGGTGGTTCGGGATCATCAGGGCCGGTTCATGGCAACCAAGAGCGACCATCTGGGTGCGATCGTGATCCCTTATTGGCAGAAGCGTTGGTGGTGAAGGAAGCTTTGGCTTGGATAAATGAGCTTGGGTTTAATAATATTATAGTAGAATCAGACTGTTTAAATTTTTGTCTTGCTTTTAATTCCCGTACTCTAGACTTTTCGTATGTTGGTTAAGTTGTTAAGCAATGTCTTACTATTGCTATGGACATTGAGAATGTTTCCGTTTGCCATGTCAAGAGGTCAGCGAATCATGTGGCTCATGTGCTTGCACGAGCAACTGGTTCTTTGTCTGTTCTGGGTTCGTGGGTCTCTTCCCCGCCCGTCTCTATTTATGTTTTGTTAGTTATTAATGCAGTTTGTTTCGTTTGTTTTCAAAAAAAAAATAATAATTTAACTATAGGTGTATGTTCATCACAAAGAACGAACACATATAGTCAACATTAGGCGACAGTGAACCACCGACGCCTAAAGTCATGACCATTAGCGTCTGGCTCATAGGCGTCTGCTGTACAACAAATGTCTATTACTTCGTACAACAAACACAAATGACCTATTTTGTACTAGTGGTCGGTGATCCTTCATTTAGAAATAATAATGTTTTTCTAGCTTTCAAGCTCAACATCTGATTGTATTTTTTAGTGCACAAAGAGTCTAACTCAAACTTAGACCTCCAATATTCCTAATTGGGATAAACCCCCATCCACTAGATCAATACCCTGTGAATTTAAAATAATATGCTAGTGTATTTCTTGTATGAAAAAATTAATATGCTCATTTTTTACAAAACATTTTAGCGTAGAATAGTGGTATATTTAGACTTATTTAATTAGTTTACCTCATTTCTCTCTCTCTCTTTTTCTTATTTTTCAGTTGTTGATCAACCTAGATGGATGGGTGAGAAGCTGGATAGGGTAGAGACATTGAAATTGTAGAGGAAGTTTGTATTATAGATGTTGTGAAGTAGCTAAGAATAAATTAAAGTTTGTAATGCTGAGAAACATTCACAATATATTTAAGGGAAGAAGAAGCCTGGGAACAAATTAATTAAATGGTGGGAGAGGAAAAGAAGAAGAAGAAGAAGAAGAAGAAGAAGAAGAAGAAGAAGAAGAAGAATGCTTTGAACTCCAAATTTCCCATGTAGACAGAGAAAAAGAGAGTTTTGAATCTGAATTAAGTGAGAAAAATAGATCTTCTACTCAAGAACAAGATATGAAAGAAAAAAAAAAAATTGATTGAAAATTTTTGAGTTTTTAGGTTTTCAATATGATATACATTATTACTCCTATTTTTTATATGATAATAATAGAAATCAAGTCAAGAAAGCAAATAGTACAGTTAACTAAAACAGTAAGACTAAACGTTAAAAAAAAAAAAAAAAAAAAAAAAAAAAAAAAAAAAGAGTACAGTATAACAAGTAGCTAATTTAAAAGTAAAATTCATCTAAAGATTCCATGTAGACTTTATTAGCTTAAAAGTTCCGAAAGGTCCATATCAGTTGGAAAGTTAGGCCAATCGACTTGTCCTTGGTTCATGCACGTGCTTCCTGCATTGTCGAACAGAAAATCCTCCCACCACTGCACTCTGTCGTTTGACGTTGTTGTCTCTAATTCTGACGCCGTGATTATTGTGTTGTTTTCTTGCAAATTTTTCGTTACCAACTCCGATGTTGCTTCCGGCTGCGGTATCTTATTATGTCCTTGGATTTGAGCATCAAAGGTAACGGCGGTAGCTTTTCCGGTCAATGGCGGCGTCCCAGATAATAATGATGAGGTAGTGTTTAAGAATAATCTCCGAGGTCGAGGCCTAACAACGTTGTTTTCCCTCATTTCGGGGGCTTTGCCCTTCCAATTATCTTGCATGCTAGATGCCATGGCAAATACCTTTTTCTGAATATGAGTATTCCAGTAATTCTTCACATCGTTCGCTGTTCTTCCCGGAATTCTGCCGGCAATAAGCGACCACCTAAAACACGTAAGAAAACAATGAATTAAAAACTGATGATTAAAACATGAAAATAATTAAAACATTTTCGACGACGTAAGTAAAATGTTTGAATTACTTTTGACTTAGTTTTTGTCAGCTGTATTTGTGAACTTGCCTGTTGCCTAAGAGCTTATGGAGACGCATAATTAGATCCACTTCATCCAATTTGAAGTCGCCTCTCTTTATATCTGGACGGAGATAGTTCAGCCATCTTAATCTGCAACTTTTCCGGCACCTATTCAACCCTGTAATTATTACACACATCTGACTACATAAGTACATACATATATATATAGTCTATTTCAGGTGTGAACCATTGCTATCATGTGAATCTGTAAACTCACGCGCCATTGAGATGTGAGATTGGACGGTCAAGATCTAGATAGGGATGCAGTGCATCCGGTGCAGTTGTGCAGTGATGTTGTACATTGGTGCATTGATGTATATTTACTAGGTAAAAATCATTATAAACTACAACATCCAGTAAGATTAACGGTCCATAATGGTACATAGGTTCACATGATAGCATTGGTTCACATTTGAAACTAAACTTCCTTTTCAAGTGTGAACCATTAATATTGCTATTATGTGAACCTGTAAACCTCACGCACCGTTGAGATGTGAGATTGGACAGTCAAGATCTGAGGAGTGATGCATCTGGTGCAATTGTGCAGTTGTACGTGCAATTGTGCAGTAATGTAGTGATGTATATTTGCTAGGTCAAAATCATGAGATCGAGCAAGATCAACGGTGCATAATGATACATAGGTTCACATGATAACATTATAATTTACATTTGAAACTAAACCTCTATATACATTGTATATATAGAGGGATATATATATATATATATATATATATATATATATATATATATATATATATAGATGTTTAAGATGCCATTAAGGTTACATTAATTACCAGCTCTAATGGGAATAAGATGTCATTTTCCTTCACCATATTCCTGAATGCACTTCCTCAAAAGATTATCTTCTTCTTCAGACCATGCACCTTTTCTCACTCCCGACCATGCAGATGAATTAGCCATGGCAGGGTATCGTAAACTTTGTTATACGTAATCTACGTGGATAGCACCAAAATGCAGAGAAAAGAAAAGCGAAACCTTAACAATAGAACAAGCTAATCTCTTAGCACTACGACCTAGTGAGCAGAGCTACTATATATACACAAATATTATATAGAATATACCTTTTTTGTAAGGAAGAAAAATAAGCATATGTAATTTTATTACTTTTAATCATTACCACGTGGAAGGTTGGTAGCCTGTGTACGTACACCAGCAATGATTTCTATATAAATTCTGGTCTCCTGAATGAAGCCATACAATGATTACTAAATAATTCCTGGTCTCATCAATGAAGCCATATCTTCTGACGTGCACATCCGTATGACCACAAGTTTAATGAAAATATTACATGCATTCTCATTTCTTACTCTCAATTTTTACTCCATCTCATATATTCTTGATGATTCTGTTTGGCAAAGTTTATTTAGGAGCTTATAGCTTATTTTAAGCTACTAATAAACTATAAGCTCTGTTTGGTAATGTTCCCCAAATAAGCTCCTAGCTTAAAATAAGAGCTTATTTTGAAACGCTACCTTAAATAGCGTTTCAAAATAAGTTAGGAGCTTTCTAACTTTTTTTCATTTTTATCCTTATTATTTTAAAGAAATAACATCATTTACCTTTCCCAATTAAAAACCCTTTACTTCATTTATCTGCAATTTTCACGACAAATCTTTTAGCCGCACATTTATTGTTTTATTATTATTATTATAAGATTGATTATCTAATACATATGATGAATAGGATAAAGATGTTATGAGATGCTAGATCGTGATTATACTAATAGTTTTATTTCAAAATGTTAAATTTTAATATGTAAATAAATTATTTTAAATTTTTTGAAGATGTCTTTTTTAGTCTTTTTACATTTATTAACTTATCAAAAAACTAATTTTACCAAACACTTTTAACTATAACAGCTAGCTTAACAGCTCTTAAGTTTTCAGCTCTTAACTTATAGCTTTTCAGTTAGATTTGCCAAACAGAGTCGATGTAGACATATTCTCTGGGACCCACATGATAAAAGTAGTTGATCCCGATTTGTCATATCAGGGAGTAAAAGTGAAGGGTAAAATTTGGAAGTACATATAGTAATAGAATTCCAAGTTTAAAGAAAACATCGTTTTATACTTTCTTTTCCCAAAATGTGTTTAATTCAATTAAGAATATCTTCAATCCACCTTACACCAAAATATCAAAATTTTCACTATATATCACATCAAAAGAAATATTCTTAGCATATTCCCACGTCAAATTTTATTAATTTGACACATTACACCAAAAAATCAATTTTATTTATTTATATTTTTGTAGCAATTCGCGTCATTTGGATGATATAATGTTGGATTTGATTCTTTAAGCTGCGGCCTAACACTAATACATTGGAGGGTGTATTTCACTTTTATATCTAAAAAAAAAAAAAAAAAAAAAAAGTAATCTTTTGTGGTTACAGATCTGACGGCTCATGTTTTACTCTGCCCTACAGATACAGTAGATAGTTGTACAAGTCTAAAACATCGATTGACAACATTAAATGAGGAAATCCAGATCTAGCGAGGAGATTGGAGAAGGCCTCATTTTCGGTACATTGTAATCTACCAAAAGAAAAATGGGAAGAGTGGTTGGTAACAAGTCAGTAGTCCATGGGTTTAGCTCAATGGTTTAGTGGATAGTATTTAGGAGAAGAGATCAAGATTTAAATCTCGACGGCGGCAGTGTGAGAATTATGTTCAAAGTTGGCAGATTCTTTGTGTGCACCAGCATTTAGTCCTGTCTACTGAACTATTGAGTCACTGTGATTTACATCTTCCCACGTGCTCTGTCTGGATGGAGATTCATGTTTTGGAGAAGAAAAATGGGAAGAGTCGTTCTGAAAATAAAAGCTGTCAAGTTGTCCGATACTCTAACGTCGTGTTAAATTCTAGTACTATAAAATAATACTGTAATAAGAATAATGATTTATGGATTAACGATTTTACCAAAATATTTTGATTGGACGATGTTATATTGTGGACCAAATTCTATGAGCATAATGATTGATAGATTAAAAATTTCACCAAATATTGTGATGGAAAGACACAAGTCTTTAGTACGGACCAAATGAATGGGAATATATTTATATTCCTTTTGATTTCGTAATCTTTTACTGCATGTTTCGTTCAAAAAATGAATTTTAAGAAATTAAGAATATTATTTCATGAGAATGGATCAAGATTATGTGGTTTAATGGTACTCGGGTTGAATTTCCATTTGAAATGTTGTTCTTTGTATTTTAGTAGGTTGAGAAAGTATATAGACAGATACTACATTGTAACAGAGCCAATAACATTAAAAAAAAAAAATTATGAGAATGGAATAGATATGAAATATAATAAGATTTGTAACTGAAAATTTAAAATAATAATAATAAGACGGCTTACTTATTATTTTATACTATTATTATTAACATTTTTTTATATCAAAGGGAGGGAGAGACTCCGGAGTCCCGGAGATACTAGCTTTCTACAGGGGTATCTGTCATTAAGAACTCCAAAAGCTCCCGTAATTAAGACTTTGGAACCTGTGACAGATTTCAAAATATATAAAATACATTTTTTTAAAAAAAAAATGTATACCGTTTTTTAAGCATAAAAAAGTATTATCTTTTTATTAAAAATATTATTAAAAGTAAATATTAAAGTCAGAATGTGGAATGGACAGAAGTTTGTCTGAGATGATTTTGGAGGAGATTTTTTAAAGGAATCTGGGAGGAGATTTTTTAAGGAATTTAGGAGTAGATTTCCTAAGGAACTTGGGAGGAGGTTTGTCTAAGAGGAAAACTAGAAAAGCATGGGGCTAGATTTGCTGCTATGTTTTGAGAAAATTTGCAGGAGAAGTTTTTCTTGCATTGCAAGTTTCTAGGCATTTAATATAATATTAAATGCTTAAGAATTCTCTAGACTCTTTTGGTGCTATAAATAGGCAACATCCTCCTTTCATTTGGATCATCCCATCCCATCCGAATATTTCCAGTAGCATAGTAAATTCTGTAGAGAGAAAATAGAGAGTTATATTTGTAATTCCTATTGTATTATCCTTTTGCCAATACAGAAAAAATTCTTCTTCAATTTGTTTTGCTTTGTGTATGATTTATTTTAAATCTTACACTGGAATTTATTCTCAATATTTCCAGTCCAAGTTGCTATTGTAAATTTGGTGTTGTAAACCCGTTTCGATCCTAACATTAAATATTATTAATTCGTTCCTTCATAATATTAGTGAAAATATAATAGTGTTTGACACAAAACATTTTATAAAAATAAAAATAAAAATATTTACACGGCTCATATAAAACAATCTCACACAATACCAAACATATTTAAAAAGTGATTCCACTTAATTAGCTAATAGCCACAATATATATATACATCAACATTTGATTAAAACTTATGATCTATTTAACGAATTCTTGTTTTTTGAATGTTACTGGCTCTATTACAATGTAGTATATGTTCATATACTTTCTCAATCTACTGAAACACAAAGAATCAATAACGCCTCCATTGAGGCTTGAACTCACAACCTTCCAAATGGAAGTCCAACCCGGGTACCATTTGATAAAAACTTATGATCTATTTAACGAATTCTTGTTAAGTACCTCAAATTTTAATTCTTTTCAAAAAGTAATTTTACATTTAATCACCTAACAACTAACAACTAATTAACCAAACACTTTTCTACAATCAACTAATATTATCAACTAGTCAAACTCAATCAGCTAACAACTATTTAATAAACACCCCCATAATATTAAATTTCCTTAATGCTTTCAAGGAACTCTTCACTAGGACTAGCTAGCATTATATGCTAGATTCCGAAATATTATGGGGGTATTTGGTAAATGGTTGTTAGCTGATTGAGTTAGTGGGTTTGACTAATTGATAGCATTAGCGGATTGTAAAAAAGTGTTTGGTAAATTAGCTGTTAGTTATTAGCTGATTACATACAAAATGACTTTCCTAAAAAATTGATCGAAAAAAAGTTACTTTGAGCAACTTTTTTAATTTTAGCATTTTGAAGCAATAAGTTGTTATAAAAAATTAATTAATCAAACACTCATATTGATTGTTTAACCAAGTCAAACAGCTAATAGTGATCAAATAAGTCAAAATTTACAGATAAAGTAACTATTTTACCAAGATGTGTGTGCATATTCATGTTTTACTCTTTAATTTTACCGTGCAGACACAGTAGTAAAAGTCCAAAAATCAGCTGGCAAAATTAAATGAGCAAACCCAAATCCATTGAGCATCCACAATGGTTGGGGAGAATTGGGAGATAATGTAAAAGTGATTAGGAGAGAGAATGTGGAAAGGGGAGGAAATAAAAAATAAAAAAATCAAAAAATCAAAATCAAAAATTAAAAAAAAAAAAAAAAGTAAAGGGTCAGGCGCGCCTGACGCGCCCGTGTGGGAGGCTGCTGTGCGCGAAACGCGCACAGCAGCCTCCTTTTTCTTCTCTTTCCTTTTCTTCTTTTTCTGCATTCTCCCCAATTTTGCAGAACAAATATTTTGATAAATAACCCCACCCCACATTTGTTATTATCCCCACCCAAGATAATTCATCTGACATTATCTCCATAATATCCACTGATGTGGATGCTCTTAAGAGAGAACGAGAGATCCTCCCTCATTATCAGTCTAATCGAATCCAGCGCAAAATGGCTAGATTCCCAAAATAAAAACTGGCAAGCTGTCTTATAATAACATCGTGTCGAAATAAATTCATGCTTCCAAGTGCGAAATGAATTCCGAAAATAATTGGCGTGATCCATGCTTTCTCTTGTTATCACTTCAATTTCATTAAAAAATAAATTTTTGATTTGATCTAGTCCCCTGATATGCTTCACAAGATTTAGGAGTACATGTAATCAGGGGCGGACCCAACATGGAGGTAGTGGGGGCAGCTGCCCCCTTCCCCCCACCCCTACCCTATATATAAACTGTATGTATATATAGTACGAGTTGTAGGATAAGTATTACAAAATAGAGAAGGGTTAACAAGAGATGAATACATCAAGTGGCAAGGCATGCGTGTTACCTTTGTAGAGTGCCATGATTTGAATCCTCTAAATGAATATGCTATGGCTTTTTAAGAAGGCCAGAGTTTGAATGCAATGTGTGTGCTGACACAATTTATTTATGATTTTTAAATACTCTGTATTAATTAATTGTGAGATTTACACACACATATATATAAATTTTTTTTATATTAATAATGAGATGTGTCTATAATTTATTTTTTATTTTAATTATTTTATCAAATTAATTATGTTTCATATTTTGTTATGTATATTTTATAAAGTTTTGAGGTGTTTTATTTTTCATCCACACCCAACAATATTTATGGCTATACTTTTAAGTGTTTTATTTTTTATCAAACTATCTCTTTTGTTTTAATGCGTTCTCCCCCCCTCCCCCCACTGAAAAAGTTTATTGGATCCGCCACGGCATGTAGTAGAACTCCATTTTTAATCTTCTTATCCCCCCACCCCCCATATTTTTTTTTCTTTACTATAAGTTGCAAACACTCCATCTCCCTTTCTATTTTTCATCTTTTTGTTTGATTGTTTGTTAATCAAATTAACAAAAAATGCATAGGCATCGATCTATATATGCATTGCTAAATGTTTTTTGTTTTTTTTGTTTTTTTGTTTTTTTTTGTTTTTTTTTTGAGATGAATCATTTTTGAGTTAATCTGCAATATCCGAAATGCTTGAAATTCAATGATGGACATGTAAGTTTATGCCTTAGAAATGTTGTATCTATAGATTGAATACTAAACCAGTACTTATAATTACAATTTCACTCCAAGCATTTGAGCCTTAGTTATGGTAAATGCAAAGAAAATTTGTTCACTGGACTTGAAGATGCAAGTAGCACTCCATATTCTTGTATTCCCACTTCCCAGTTTGTTTGCTTGTATTTTTTTATTTTTTATTTTTTATTTTTTAACCTTTTTCCCAAAATAAAAATATAAAGTTGCGAGTTCATTTTTGGATTTTTTAAGCTAGTGCAGTAAATTAAGTTCTTAGTAGGAGACGATATAGCTGGGACGTTCTTTAGTTCGATATGGGAGGCGAATTCTTCCGCAGACGGAACTTCATTGAATGTTTGAATGCGAAGAATAGTACCGCCATGGCTCACGGACCTATATATATATATATATATATATATATATATATATAGAGAGAGAGAGAGAGAGAGAGAGAGAGAGAGGGAGAGGAGCTAGTTCCAGTATTCTATATGAAAATAAAAATAAGTTGTTTATTGAAGAAAGATGAAGAAATGTAGAGATGAAGGCATTTAATTTGGCTATGTTGGGGAAGCAAGCTTGGCGGTTCCTAACAAATACCGACTCATTGGTATCCCGTGTGTATAAAGCTAGGTATTATCCTAAACTAACTTTTTCAGAAGCAAGTATAGGCAATAATCCTAGCTACTGTTGGAGGAGTATTATGGCTGCAAAAGAATTAATTACCAGTGGGGTGCGACAACGGATTGGAAATGGTGAGTCGACTCTAATATGGAAAGACCCATGGCTCCAGGACGAATTAGATCCTATGATTCAGACTGAGATGCCAGTACAGTTGGCAGATGCTAAGGTTGCAGGATTGATTGATCAAACAACTGGGATGTGGGACCCCCATATTCTAGCTGATATTTTCCAACCAAATGATGTAACTAGAATTTTAAAGATCCCCATCTCCCCGGATTATGAGGACACTTGGTACTGGCACGGGGATCCGAATGGATGCTACTCCGTCAAGAATGGGTACAGAAGTATAGTGGGCAATTATGATACAAACATGGGATTTGATAGATGGAATACCCTATGGCATCTCAAAATACCACCGAAATGGAAAATATTTTTATGGAGAGCAATGAGCAATATATTACCCACTACCACTAATTTACTTATGAAGAGAGTGGATATTGATCCGTTATGTGCAATGTGTGGCCTAGTAAATGAAGATATAGTGCATTCATTGGTAGTGTGTGACTATGCAAAAGCCATTTGGAGCCAATCTAGCCTTCCAATCCCCCAAATTGTGACAAATGTTTTTTATGATTGGTTTGAAACATTATTGGATGTTCTAAATTCTGATGAAATATTCTTTGCAGCTGCAATCCTATACAATATTTGGAGAGCCCGAAACGAAGCGGTGTGGAATGGTTATTTATCAATGCCGAAAAAGATTGTTGCAACGGCCTTAGCAACCGTAAAAGCATGGCAGCAAGTACACGCTACTGCCGCTATGAGGGCTGCCACAGCCGATCAAACTGCCCAGCAGTCCATGGGTTCGCCTCATGTCGCACCGCCCCATGGCATTCAGCCCCACGCCGTAACACACCAAATTGTACCACTGGCCAACGCCCCAGGATTATTGCCGCAACATCCGCAAGCCATTATGCCGCAGCCTGCTACGGGCTCTTCAACACAGCCGAGGCAATGCTACATCGACGCCAGCTATGTGCCGTCGTCCATGACGGCCACTGTTGGAGCGATACTGTTCACCCACACTGGCAATTATATATCCGCTTTTTGTACTCCACCGCAAAACTGTTTTTCACCACTCATGGCCGAGGCGATGGCATGCAAGGAAGTGCTGTCGTGGCTCAAGGATAGGGGAGAGCAATCGGTTAATCTCTACACGGATTGCCAGACATTACTCACGTATTTGACGTCAACTACTACTCGCCCAAGATCATACCTGGGCTACGTCCTCGATGACTGCAGGACCTTTTTAAATATGTTTGATTATTGTTCGATTAATTTTATTCCTAGATTGCATAATACTTTAGCTCATACGTTAGCGGCAACTGCTTTTAGCTACACATTACCTATGTACTGGGACAGTGTCCCCCCTGACTCTATTGTGATTTATCTATAAATACAGCCCAATGGTTGACTTTCAAAAAAAAATGTATTAAAAAGTGACAATCAATCTATAGGTGTCTTTAATTATAATTTTTTGTTCAAAAGAAATTGAATTCTGTGAACTTGTGAAATGAAATTGAATTGACCAATTTTGTAAAATTTAATTAATTTTAAAAAGAAAAAATTTCGAAAATGATACTCCGACTATGACATTTTTCAAATTGGTCCTATGACTTTTAATTGAACCAAACTGGTCCTCTAACTATTAGATTTGAAGCCAAATTGATCATCCGTTTGTTGGGCGTGAACTTGGCCATCAAATTAGAGGGCAAAACATGAAATTTACATTGTATAATGTTTAGACTACCAACTCTTTTAATTTTCTCCCAAATTAGCGAACGAATTGTTGAAACTTGAAGAACCCTAAGTAAATTGTAAATTGTGAATTTTCTCTAAATTTTATTTTACCCTCAGTAAATTGTACAATTCGTTCGCTAATTTGGGAGAAAAATCAATGGCGTTGGTAGTCTAAATATTATACAATATAAATTTCATGTTTAGCCCTATAATTTACCGGTCAAGTTCACGCCTAACTAGCAAATGATCAATTTAACTTAAAATCTAATAATTAGCAAATCAATTTGGGTTCAATTAAAAATCGTATGACTAATTTGAGAAAAGATCGAGTACCATTTTGAGAATTTCCTCTTTTAAAAATTAAGTTTGCAAGTTTTTTTGAACATAAGTTTGCAAGTTAAATGTGCCTAAAAAATTTAAAGCACCTCACGGCGCAGCTGTCGTTGTCTGAGTGAACTATTGAGTATTTATTAATAGCGATAATACCTTTACCAAAAAAAAATAGCGACAATACACATTACCTAAAAACTTAACAAGTGCCTAGCATAAGCTCTACAATTGCCTAAATGAGATAAGATAAAATAGGTATCTTATCTCATGCTCATCCAATGAAAATTTAATGCTTAATATCATTTGGATATAACAATAAAGTTTAAATTAAATCACTATTTAAGTATTTATTCATATTTTTATACACTTCTACAATTATTAAAAAGTGACAAAATCTGTAGGGTAAGATACTATTCTGGAATAAGATTAAAGTTTGTTAATTTTTTTAATACTATTGACTCTATTACAAATTTACAATGCAGTATCTGTTCATAACTACTTTCTCAAACTAGTGGCACAGAGAGTCAATAGCGCCTCCACTAAGACTCAGACCCACAACCTCCCATGTAGGAGTTCAACTTGATACCATTGGACGATATGAATTTCCATGGAGGCCATTACTGATTTCCATAAGAGTTTTTAACTTTTTATTATATTCGAAAACTAGTTTCCAAAAAAAAAAAAAGTTAACAAAAATGATTTCTTCAAATTTACACACAATGGGAGTTTTAATTAAAAAGTATTTTCAAAAATTACGGGTATGTATAAAGGGATTAATCAGTGTACACTGTAACATAGGATGTTAGGAGCGCTTAACTTTCTAATGGTACAATGGTTATTAAGAAATTATTTGAACATTGAAATATGTTGTGTAATGAACTTTAACGAAGTAGATCACTTAAGTTTTTAGGAAGAATGTTGGAAAAGTTTTTGAGATAAAAGATTCATGAGTAATACCTCTTGTTCTATTTTCATAACTTGTTTATTTAATAGGAACAACAATAAGTCTGCAAGTAGTTCGAATATTGATACTGCAACGTGTCCAGTTTCATCAACAATTCACACATCCATTTTACACATGTTCATTTTCAAGTTCATATTTTTTGAATTAGTATGAATGAGTGTAGTACTTGATTTTGTGTGTGTGTGTCTTTTTAATTGATACTAACCTTCGAGTTAAATTGTTTGTCACTTTGTGTATAAACCTTTTTTTTAAAAAAAAAAATAATGGCTACATTCTATATACCAAGTGTTTTTGTTGTCAGCGTTGACGTTGATTTTGCCTCTAATCCAAGTAGGCTGAGTCTAGAAGATGAAATGAATTGTAAATTTATATTAGTTCTAATATATTTAATGAATGCACAATAAGTATTTTACATACAGGATCAATGAATGCAGCAACGGTGGCTATTTTAAAATTTCTTCACTTTCTCAATTTGCCTAATTAATTGCACCATTGTTGTAGTCTCGACATCTTTTCAATGCATCAAGTGTGGTCTGTTTTGGTGGAACTTGTTGCAATTCAACTTGTGATTGATGAGTCAAGGTGTAACACATGATTGATCTATTTTCTTGCCAATAGTCGTGTTAACCACTTAATAAGTGAATTAATTCTTGATCTAGTGTGTTGTGCATGTGAAGTCTAAGATTTGCATGTTAACCACTTAATAAGTGAACGAGTTCTGTTGCCAATAGCCTTGTTAACCACATCATAGTACTAGTGAAGGTTTATGTGAGATTTCAATGTTAGTTGATTTGCTAGAACTTGCCTAATTACTCTCCAAGTGAAGTTTAAAATTTTCATGTTTTGAAATGATATAGACCAGTTTTGTTTAGCCCGAGCCTTTCAAGCCTATCCTTACATATGTTTTCACCCCTATTTGTTCTCGTTGAGCCTCTTGTTTGTTCAATAAGTGCTAAACACTAGAGTGGACAAAGTCCGGGACCGGACCGATCCTAGGCCTAGACTAGCACAGATTGGGACCGACCCTGAATTATCTAGGGCCTGGGCCCGTGCCTCTCGTGGGCCGATCCTGGACTAGGCCGACCCTGAATTTTTATTATTAATATTTTTATATAAAATAATTATACTTTAAAAAAAATAAGATTTGACCCGCTAACATCATAGTTATATATATAATTGATGAGGGCACTTCAACTGTATATATATACATATATATTTGAATAGTATTATATCTATTATAATGGAGTGTCTGTTAGATACTCTATTGAAGTTCAAACCTACAACCTCCCATGTGGAAGTTTAACTTGGTACCATTGAACCACAAAGTCATATATATATATATATATATATATATATATATATATATATATATATATATATATATATATATATATAGAAGTCGGTTATGGTGCGGGTGGGCGCCTCAAGTGTGGGTGTGAGGTTTAATCTGAGCTATTGATCTTGCTTAAATCAAGTTCGAGGATTACCAAAAAAAAAAAAAAAAAAAAACGCTGTGACAATTTGGTAATTTTTGCATCTAATTAAGTCAAATTGAAGGTGCGTAAGTTTTGTGCTTAAGGTGCGTGAGTTTTGTGCTTAATGTGCGTGAGTTTTGTGCTTAATGTGCGTGAGTTTGTGTTTAAGGTGCGTGAGTTTTGTGCTTAATCTGAGTAGTTGTTAAAACTTAAAGTTCGTTAGTTTTGTGCTTAAGGTGCATGAGATTTGTGCTTAAGGTGCGTGAGATTTGTGCTTAATGTGCGTGATTTTGTGCTTAAGGTGCGTGTGTTTTGTGCTTAATGTGAGTAGTTGGTAAAACTTAAAGTGCGTGGGTTTTGTGCTTAAGGCGCGTGATATTTGTGCTTAAGGTGAGTGGTTTATGTGTTTAATGTGCGTGAGTTTGTGCTTAATGTGAGCCATTTTAAAATCTTAAGTGCGTTGGCTTTGTGCTTAATATGCTTTGTTATGTGCTTAAGGTGCGTGATTTATGTACTTAATGTGAGTGATTTGTGTTTCTTAAGGTGCTTTGTTTGTATGCTTAAGGTGCATGGTGATTTGTGTACTTAATATGCGCCATGTTAATGCTTAAGGTGCGTTGACCGCACGGGAAGCATCACCCGCACTTGAACCCTCAGGAGATAACTCAGAACGCATGACATCTGTCCACGTTTACAAATCTAACGGATGAGAAGCACCGAGTTTTTAAAAAAAATGTGGTGGCATTTTCAATTCGTAAATAATTGAACATCATAGTGCAAGTGAAATGTATTACAAGTGCAAGTAGCAGTTTCATATAGTGCACCTAAGTGTCAGTAAGACGTATTATAAATGCAAGTAAAATGTATTACAGGTACAAGTAAAATTTACACTGAGCATCAATACTAAGTGCACCTAACATTATAACCAGTTGCACCTAACGTTATAATTAGTTGCATATAGGTGCACGAATGTTAACAAGGTAAATTACTTGCACTTGTAAGTGAAAATAGGTGCACTTGTAAGTGATTTTATTTACACTTTTTACTTGCAATGATGCACCAGTTATGGATTACATCCCAGTGTGATGAGATAATCAGAGCTTTTTCAAAAGCCGATATCCCCTTGACTAATGTAAATTCTGGAGAATGGAAGCAACTTGCTTGGTCTAAATTAGTCGAAGAAGTCATTAAGGTGAATGTTGAAGGCTCTGTAGATTTACAGTCGAATAAAGCTTCGTGCGGAGGGGTGTTACGCGATCACATGGGCTAGTGGAAACAAGGATTTGTCTTTAATATTGGAAATTGTTCTCCTCTTGAAGCCGACGCAAATTTTGTTGTGCAACCGAATGCACCATGCGCATGGTGCATACAATGCAAAACGACGTCGTTTTGGTTAAAAAACGCGCGTCCCACTTAAAAAAGAAATCAGGTTCGATTCCCAGCAATAACATTTTTATATATCCATAAATTCATAACTATATATCCACAAATTCATAACTATATATCCACAGTGAATGAATGAAGTAAAAATCCACAATGAATGAACTAAATATCCACAATGATTGAACTAAATATCCACAATGAATGAACTAAATATCCATAAATTCATAACTATATATCCAAAAATTTATAACTATATATCCAGAAATTCATAACTATATATCCATAAATTCATAACTATATATCCACAGTGAATGAATGAAGTAAATATCTACAATGAATGAACTAAATATCCAAAAATTCATAATTATATATCCACAATAATGCTATTGCCGAGAATCGAACCTGAATTTTTTTTTTTAAGTGGAACGCGCGTTTTTAGTCAAAACGACGTCGTTTTACATCGTATGCACCATGCGCATGGTGCATTCGGTTGCACAACATAACTATTGTGAAGCCGAAGCCTGGGCTTTACTCAAAGGCATTCAATTAGCAGTTAAAATGGGTTTTAAGAAAGTAGTTTTTGAAAATGATTCTATGATGATTGTCAAGTTTGTCAATGGTGATTCATACCCTTCTATCGCAGCATATAACATCCTGGAGGCATGCAAAAAAGAGCTGCGCAGGTTCAAATTCTGGCAGGTGGTCGAGATTGTTCTTGAGCAAAATAGACAAATAGTGTCGCAGATGCAATTTCCAAACAAGCCAAGCATTTTCCCAAAGGTTTGCATGTACTGGAAAATCCCCCCTGATGTTGTACTCAGGGACGGAGCCAAAGGGGGGCAGGGGGGCACCTGCCCTCCCTCACCCCACCCCTACCCTATATATAGCTTTGTATATAATATGTATAGTACATTATTAGTATAAGTATTATAAAACAGATTTTGTAAACAAAAACTTTGGTAGACAAGGTGGTAAGAAACGCGTTTAGGTTTCAAAATGGCTTGGGGTTGATTGCTTGCATTGACATTGTCTCAATCTTCTTCACATTTTTGCTCAACATGTATATATAACTGTTGGTACCGTTGGTAGAAAACAAATAATAATCAAATAAAAATTGACTATTATTTTTCTGGGAAGAAGGGAAGAAAAGATGAAAAATTTGGCCAGTGTTTGGTGTTGGGTTTTTGCAAGAGTCGAGTGAGCACTCTTTCCTTAAAACCTTATTTGACACCTCCCAAAAGATGCTAGGAGCGTTGTGGCCTAGGCTTCCCAGGATAAAACTTGCTATGATTCAGTGTTTGAGCATTCAAACAAAGAATCCGGCGAGCAAGACGTGGTTATGAACACAGTATGGCTAAGAAGAGGAGTAGAAGCAGAGAGGTTTTGAAGCTGGAAAAACGAACTTTCGTGTTCTATTGCTGTGTGTTAAAAACTCTACTGCCTCTACTCTCTCTTATATAGGGTTGAAGGAGCCAATAGTCTTTATTATGGCAATTAAAAATGACATTAAAGCAGTCAGAACTTTCGGGTTCCATTTCCGGACGACATTCGTGCCCCCAGGTGCCGGCGCACACGAGCTCGGGCTTGTGTCAAGCCTTTTTCAATCTCTGCTAGTTGGAATTTGATTTACACCCCCCCCCCCCGCGCGCGCGCGCGAGAGAGCCTCTATGCTATACAATTCTACAAGCTTCAAAAGAGCTCTTGTATATAAGGGGGGGAAATCTTCATTCCAAAGCAATGTGGGACAAAAGCACACTTTTTCCCTTCATTTTCCAACTCAAATGGGTCTACTTTGAATATCTCATTCACCCATTATCCGTTTTGAGCGTACAATATATCGATCTCTTCGTCTCACTACGAAGAATCCGAATCCACTTTAACCCGACCCAAATCGGTAGTGGACCCCACTAATAATTGTACCACAAAATAGCCACTTAACATGCTATTTTTTCCAACAATAACTTTCTTTATATTAATAATGAGATGTATATATAACTTTCTTTATATTAATAATGGAATGTGTAATTTATAATGTGTTTTATATTCGAATTGTTTTATCAAATTAATTATGTTTCATATTTTGTTATAAATATTTTTATAAAGTTTTAATATGTTTTATTTTTCGCTATATCCAACAATATTTATTGTTATACTTCTTAAAGTGTTTCATTTTTTTTTCAAACTTTCTCTTTTATTTTAATTTTTTGACCTCACTGAAAAAAATTCCTGAATCCGCCACTGACCATCCCTACTTATTGAGGATGATTTATATGGCATCCCAGCTTGGCGCTAGGTGTATAACATAAACCATTAAGTTTGTTAAATAAAGTGGGTATCCCCCTTTTTTATTAAAAAAGGTGCACCAGCTACATGTACTTATAACACATTTACTTTCACCAATGTTCGAGTTATTTACAAAAATGTCACCACGTCGTTTGTTTAAAATTATATCTGATTCGTTGATATGGACATGTGAATAGCTGTAAATGGTTCTTATTTCTCTCCTGGGCGCTTGTTCTCATTAGAGCGTGCCCAAATATATATATATATATATATATATATATATATATATATATATATATATATATATATATATATATATACATACGTATCCTCATCAATAATTTATAGCAATCAAAATCCATATATCACTAGTTTGATTACTATTATACACAAACTGGCCGGGGGCATGTCCCGAAATCATCACTGGTATATATTATAGCTCCTGCTAACTATATTGCCATCACTGGTATACATTATAGCTCTGCTAACTGTATTGCATATCACTGGTATATATAGTAGCTCTGCTAACTATATTATATTGCAGGCCTGGCATGCTTATACCAATAATTTAATGCTGTCTTCTATTATATATATTGCTCAAGGTTTCTCGATCTTTTTATTATTTTCTTTTTTCGGCCTATTGGTGCTATAACAACCTTAGCTAAGATCGAATTTCCGACACCCCTCAATATAATGGTTATTTCATCTGTATTGTCGGGATCGTCTTCGAGAGTGAGAAAAGGTGCTTGGTCCGAAGAAGAAGACCATCTTTTGAGAGAGTGCATTCAGAAATATGGTGAAGGAAAATGGCATCTAATTCCCCTTAGAGCTGGTAATATAATGTAACCTGAATATATCATAAATTAAAACATTTCTATTATCACTTCATGCATGAATATATTACTATTATTTTTACTGACTCAATATGTAATCGCGTATTTGTGACAATTGCAGGATTGAATAGGTGCAGAAAAAGTTGCAGATTAAGATGGTTGAATTATCTCCATCCTGATATAAAGAGAGGCGACTTCAGTCCTGATGAAGTTGATCTCATTCTCCGCCTCCATAAGCTCTTAGGCAACAGGCAAGTTCAATTCAACAGTACACATGTACTGTAGCGAGCTAGGTTTTGCTGTTTTTTGGATCTAAAAGGAAGGGATAAACCTAGGATGAGGCTAGGTTTTGCTGTGTAGTTATTTTTAAAGTTAATATTTTGTGTTTAATATAATAGTACTATGTTGAGATTGGGGCTCGGAGGGTTGAGTTTAGTGCTATGAAATTGTGGCGTTGTTGCTTACCATGAATAGATGTAGTTAAATGATTAATGTTCACCTATTTATAACCATTAGTTTTAAGAAAGATATGAAAAAATTTTGGGATTAACTGTGCATAGTTGACCTACTTGGAACTAAGAATGAGTAAATACCAATTTTAGCCCCACGTGTAGCAAAATGATAGTTTATACTTTCTCAACCTACTGTAACACAAAGAACAAATAACGCCTCCACTGAGACTCGAACTCGTAATCTTCCAAATGAAAGTCCAACCCGGGTACCATTAGATCACATAGTCTTGGTCTACATGTTTAATTCCTATCAATATTAATTTCATCAATTAACTATTAACTATTATTTTAGTACCAATTTTCATCCACGACTATTATTTTAGTACCAAAATTCATCACGTTGGTCAACCCTACATTTAAGACATGCCGAAATCTAAAAAATTTAAGGACATTTTTGTCATTTTTCAACTTAGGAATCCAATTTGAGCATAAATAAAGAGATTTAAGCTATAAGATCAATCTCAATTCGCAGTTCTGCTCCTCATCCTACCTTAATTTGATGAGTAGAACTGTGAATTGAGATAGATCTTAATGCTTAAATCATTTTATTCATGCTGAAATTGAGATCTTAATTTGAAAATAATGAAAATACCCTTAATAATTTTATATTTGGGCATGTCTTAAATGAAGGGGTAACCGGCGTGATAAATTTTAGCACTAAAACAGTAGTCATGGATAAAAATTAGTAGGAATATAATTTAAAATGTGGATCAAAAGTGTCATTTTGTTAATACTCGTGCCACCAAAATTTGTATTTGCTCAACTAAGCATATTGCTGGGTTGAGATCCATCATAGTAGTAAATCCTTGTACGCAAACATGTGTTTAGGTGGACGCTTATTGCTGGAAGAATTCCGGGAAGAACAGCAAACGATGTGAAGAATTTCTGGAACACCCATCTTCAGAAGAAGGTGTCTGCCATGGCTATGGCTTCTCCAAGGCAAGATAATTGGAAGGGCAAAGCCCCAGAAATCACGGAAAACACCGTCGTTAGGCCTCGACCTCGGAGATTCTTAAACGCCGCCTCATCATCTCCGACGACGCTATTTACCGGAAATGCTACCACGGTTGCCTATGATGGTCAACTCCAAGGACATAATATTACGACACAACCGGAAACAACGTCGGACTTGCTAATGGAAAATGTCCAACAAAACAACTCAACCACCACTTTGCCGTCAGTATTATTAGAAACAACGCCACACGACAAAGTCGACAATGTGACGTGGTGGGAAGATATACTCTCCGACAAGGAACTCAGTGACGAAGGACAATTCAGTTGGAGTGAGTTTCCAACTGATATAGACCTGTCGGAACTGTTAAGCTAAGCGTTAAATTTCACTTTAGTGTCATTTTTATATTTAATTTAATCTTACTATTTTAATTACTTATATTGTATTCTTGATTTGAATTCTATTGCCACCAAAAAAAAAAAAAAAAAAGTTCAAGGATGCAATATAATCAAATTAAAATTGTAGGATTAAATTTGAGAATGTAATCATAATAACATATTTTAGATATTTTAATGATCTTGTAAGGGTGTGCTTATTATTTATTTAATAATAAATGCAGGGTTGTTCCAATAAAAATAGGGTCTTGTGCGGTATCTTAAATTGGGCTCTTTTTTCAAGTAATTTGTATATATAAATAATATTTGTTTAAAAAGTTGTGTCAAAAATTCAAAATGTAAATATTGTATAAAAATTACATTTAAAATTTTATTTAATCTCGGTCACGCTTTTCTCTATTTGACAAATATAAAAGATCAATCGTTATTTTTATAAATACAAAATTCAAATCATTTATTGAACTAGGTCTACCACCTATTCATACATCAACCTTGTATAACAATTTTATGAAAAAGTTTACGAGATGCAACTTTGTACTAATGTCACAGTTATACAAAATGCACCTACCTAATCAATTCACATATTAATTTTTCCCATTTACGCATGATCTTGACTGATGGCAGCATTTCCCATTTTCTAATGTTGCATGTTCCCACGTAGAGCTGTGCAAAAATTGCTTTGTTTAATTTATTTTTCCATGCATAAGCCCACGTGTTCATTGCTTTGAATTTTCCCCATTTCTCCAACCCACTACACAGTACACACCCATCACCTCCTCCTATATATATATATATATATATTGAAAGGTTCCTGTGCGGTTGAATGCTTCCCGTGCGATTGTGCGGTTGATTAATGTGTGTGAGATTTGTACTCAATGTGCGTTAGTATCGTGTTTAATGTGCCTGAGATTTGTACTTAATATGCGTGAATGTGTAATGTTAATGTGCGTGAGTTTTGTACTTAAGGTGCGCGAGTCTTGTGCCTAAGGTGCGTGAGTTGTGTGCTTAATATGCGTGAGTGTGTTTTTCATTCACTGCTGTGAAAATTATGTGCATCCACTGCTGCATCTTCTTGTTTTTGTTTCGAAGTGGTGGAGGAATGAATTTTATCTTGTTTTGTTTTGCATACTGAGGGGCTGCTAATGAGAGCGAAGCTGTTAATTAGAGCTTCAAAGATTGTGAAAAAGAAGGAAACTGTGAAAATTTCCTGTTCTGCTTCCTTCTGAGCTTGTAATTCTGAACTACTCACGCACATTAAGTACAAAATTCACGCACATTAATCAACCGCACAACCGCACGGGAAGCCACAAATGCACCTGATCCCTTCCATATATATATATATATATATATATATATATATATATATATATATATATATATATATATATATATATATATATATATATATATATATATATAAAATTAAGTTCCAGTGCGGGTAAGTGTCTCCCGTGTGGTTGTGTGGTGAGTAATGTGCGTGAGTTTCGTACGTAAGGTGCGTGAGTTTGTGCTTAAGATGAGTGAGTTTTGTGCTTAAGGTGCGTGGGTGTGTACTTAATGTCAGTAGTGTTGAAACTTAAAGTGTATGAGTTTTGTGCTTAAGGTGCGTGAGTTTTGTACTTAAAGTGCGTGAGTTTGTTCTTAATGTGATGAGTAGTTGTTGAAACTTAGCTTTAAGGTGCGTGAGTTTTGTGCTTTAGGTGCGTGGGTTTGTGTTCTTAAGGTGTTTTGTTTGTGTGCTTAATGTGCGTGTGTTGTGTACTTAAAGTGCGTCAGTTTAATGCTTAATGTGCATCCACCCGCACAACCGCGTGTGTGTATGTGTGTGTGACCACCTCTTCCCGTGATACCCAACATGGATGCACATAAACTATTTCAGGTTAGATTGTTTGCATTGTGTGGCTAAAATTTTAAATTGTATACATTCATGTAGAAGATTATGTGCATATATTATATATATTCAAGTCTCACAATTTAACAAGAAGGTGTGGTCTCATCTAATCACTAATATATATAATGGCATAGTATATGATCAGTCCTTGAATGATCAGTCGTCAACCCCCTTCTACGTCTTAGACAAGATAATGTTGACACCTTTCTTAGAAGAACTTTAGACTATATATACTGCAATCAAACCCTAGAAATCTTTCCTTGTCAACTAAGATACAAATATGAAAACTTATATCCTTAAACATGAATAATTTACTTTTAGTATATTAAAAATATTTTTTTTGTTATATTTTACACAGCACGGTGTAGACACACCATAATTTGCCTACACAATAATTTGCCTAGATTGACTATATAACTATTGATTTGTAATTTCATGGGCTTTAAATGTAGGCATTTGTGTCTCCTCTAGCAAACAAAATCCTAATTAATGCTGCGCAAGATTTTTGTTTCAAAAAACAGTAAAACCAATATGCAATCAGTCCGCATCAACATCCTCGGCAAATGCTATCAGCCTGTCACTGTAGTGTTATTCACAGTTACACTTTTCAATAGCCTTGTAATCTAATAGCACCAAGTTGCTCTCTCATATGGGAGGTTTTAGGTTCGAACTCCAGTAGATGTGATATTGACTATTTGTGTTCAGTGGATTAAGAAAATAGTTATGAACATATATTACATTGTAACTGAGTCAGTAGTACTAGAACAATAGTCACAGTTAATAACAATTATAGAATAATACTTAAATAAAAAAAAAACAATTATAGATTAGAATAATACTTAAAAAAAAACAATTATAGATTAATACTCCGTACTATTCCACTAGCCATTGCATCCACCACACGTTAACAATTGATTGGGAGTTATGTCAATCTCACAAAATTGTTGGGGAAAATGAGGGACCGTCTCAAATTGGGATAAGAAAAAATATTGTTAATGAGATTTGAACCTAAGATTTGTATTTTTTTTAGTTTCAAATTTAAAATTCAACTAATTACACTACTCAAACAACAAGCATTTTAAATATAAATATAGAATTTATATAACATTTAATGCTATATATGTATATATATATACATATATATAAAGGGGTGGGATGAGGTGAGTGGAGGCACGCAGCTGCTCCTATTGCCCCCATACTAGCTCCGTCCATGATAATATGTTAACTACAGTCTGAATGTCACTTTAAACCACTACTACAAAAATGAACATATAAGTATGCTTTACACTACACCTCTTAATATAGGTGTAGTGAATAGTAGAAACAAATAAGAATACACTACACCTTTATTTTAAAGGTGTAGTGAAAAATAATTTCGATTAAAAAAAAGAAATTAAAAATATTTTTGGATTTTTCGTGGCACCTCCAAAAAAATGGTGCCGCGAAAAATTAAATAATAAAATATTATTTAACTTTCCGAGGCACCCTCTCTCAGGGGTGCCACAGGAAATTTAACAATAAAATATTTAATAAACTTTTCGAGTTACCCTCGTAGAGAGGGTGCCTTGAAAAGTTTATTATTATTTTATTATTTAATTTTCCCGATGCACCTTCTCCAATGAAGGAGCCGCGGAAAATCCTCCGAATCTGATATGTTTCTCTCGCCAACTTCTTTTTTTTTTTTTTTTTTCCTGAAAAATCACGCCAACGTTGTATAGTAATTTTATGAAAAAGTTTACAAGATGCAACTTTGTACTAATGTCACAGTTATACAAAATGCACCTACCTAATCAATTCACATATTCATTTTTCCCATTTACGCATGATATTGAGTGATGGCAGCATTTCCCATTTTCTAATTATGTAGCATGTTCCCACGTAGAGTAGTGCAAAAATTGCTTTGTTTATTTTTCCATGCATAAGCCCACGTGTTCATTGCTTTGCATTTTCCCCATTTCTCCAACCCACTACACATCACCTCCTCCATTTTCCTATAATCATGCATTAAGCACAACATTATAAACCCATCATGTTCCCATTTATTTTGTACTCCCATTTCACCATAATTTGTTTTGGTTCATGATCAAAATACATTATTACTAAAATTAAATAATAATTTTTGTACCAACAATATGTGTGTGTGGTGTTTCAATGAGCTCGACCACCTCTTCCCATGATACCCAACATGAATGCACATAAACTATTTCAGGTTAGATTTTATGCATTGTGTGGCTAGAATTTTAAATTGTATGCATTCATGTAAAAGATTGTGTGTATATATGATATATATATACAAGTCTCACGATTTCATGAGAAGATGTGGTCTTATTTAATTACAAATATATATATATATATATATATATATATATATATATATATATATATATATATATAGTGAAAGGTTCCCGTGCGGTTGTGCGGTTATTAATGTGCGTGAGATTTGTACTCAATGTGCGTGAGTGTTATGTCTAATGTGTCTGAGATTTGTACTTAATGTGCGCGAATGTGTAAAATGCAGCAGAAAATATGGATATCAGCTTCTTCCCATCCCCAGTAGCCATTGCCCCATCCCTGATGATGATGATCCATGTTTTCGTGCAGTTGAAAGGTTCCCGTCCACCACCACCCAATTTCCCGGCCGAAATCATTGTTTTCTACTCTCCAAACCCACTGTACTTTTCGTTTCAATTCAACCACCACCATGATAACCGCCCCAAACACAATATAATGATTTTGTAAGTGCCTTGAATAGTGAATACCACCATGGAAACCCAATCTGGGCACCGTCTTTTGAATGGAGCGTTTTGGAGTATTATTTTCGGGAACTACTCACGCACATTAAGCACAAATCTCATGCATATTAAGCACTATACTCAGGCACATTAAGTACAAAACTCACGCATATTAACATGACGCACATTAAGTACAAATCTCATGCATATTAAGCACAACACTCACGCACATTAAGTATAAACCTCACGCACAACCGCACGGAAAGCAACAAATGCACCTGATCCCTTCCCTATATATATATATATATATATATATATATATATATATATATATATATATATATATATATATATATATATATATATAA